TTTTTTTTTTTTTTTTTTTTTGAGACACAATACTACAAACTTGGACAAAATACCAAAGAGGAAAGGGGGGAGGTAACTGGGTTTATTAAACTTTATTTTATCAGCTTTGAAATTTTAATACCTTTTATGGACTTCTTTTTAGTTCTAAAATCTAATAGCCACTTTCTTTTTTTCAGGGGCGAAATGATGTATCCAAACTTCCAAAGACTTCAATTTTTATTTTTATTTTTTTTAATCCCTTTTTGTTGTCAGCATTGGTAACTTGGGGAGGCCTGCAGGATGGAGAGCAGTGTCGTTACAAGAGGCAAAAAAAAAAAAAAAAAAAAAAAAAAAAAAAAAAAAAAAAAAAAAAAAAAAAAAAAAAAAAAAAAAAAAAAGGTTAGGCAGAGAAAAAAAAAAAGGTTGCGTGAGGTGCCTGAGGTCCTTTCAAAAAGAAAAAGAAAAAAAGGAAAAAGGTGACTAAAGTCCTCAGCACCGAGGAAAAAAAAATATAAACCTCAATTTCGATTTCTGAATTTCCCTTTTTTTTTGGGGGGGGCATATTGTTCTTACCACTAGTAATTAATAACTATCTTAAGAAGAAGCCTTGCAGGTAACCACATTATTTAACAGCAAGAACAGTGAGAGGAGTGTCTTTTTTTTTCTTTTTCCCCTGAGCAGAAAGTCCATGTGGCTGAATGGTAAACAGTGCTAAACGCCCATGAAATTTTAACAAACATAAAAAATAAATAAAATTTCATAAATGCACCCGGTCCATGTGGCTGAATGGTACACTACTACACTCTTATAAAAATTTATTTCTTACCAAGACCGGAAAAAAAAGAAGAACAACTGCTAATAAATAATAGATCCTGTGTTCAAACTTCAAATCCTGATGGAACCCGACCAATACAATACTGTTAGCGGCTGCACCCTCAAAAAAATAATAAAAAAAAAAGATAAATAATTATTAAATTAAAATAATTTAAGAAATGAGAAAATGTCAACAGGAGTACCCACCACTCCAAGAAAATGGCCGATTAGGACATCCCAATCATCAGTGCGATCGAGCATCGGGAAGATGTTATCAATGACGCCATTGTCCACCTGTTTTGCAGGGAGGAGAGAAAAAACAAACAAACAGCATCGAGGACACAAACACGCAGATAAGGGCGGGGGGGAGGAGGGGGAGGGAATGCAGCCAGGTGAGGAGCCAGATAGACAAGACAGCCCTTCCCTTTCTTTTTTTTTTCGCTTCCTGTCTTTTTTTGAGTTTATTCGTTTCTTTTTTCTTTTTTCTATTTGCATTTTTGTCTTTTGTAAAGTTTTTTCATGTGTTACCAACTGGGGGACATGCAAAGTCCCTGTAAATTTTAAATTTAAAAAAAAAAACGAAAAATCCGAGAAAAAACTATGTAATGCCTAGGCTACCAGCCGGGGCCACCCGGGTCACCTTGTTTGCCTGGAAGGCCCGGTCGTGCAGGGGCCTAAGAACGTCCCAGCTAAAAAAAAAAAAAAAGAAAAAAAAAAAAATCCCAAAAATCTGGAAAAAAAACTCAGGGTCACATCGAAATTCTTTACCAAATTTAAAACAAATAAAAA